CATATTTCAAATGTTGCAAATAATGTACTGCTCATTAGCAAACACCATTACCTAAATTAGCATACATTCAGTTAATCCACAATGTCACTTGAATTGAATCCCTCACACCTCTGGAGTCAACTGACCGCTGGTTTCCATGGCCTTGTGGAATGGTATAGCTTTATTTGGTTTCTGAAACAAGATTGCTGGCACCTGTTAAAACAGGAATTTCAATCTGATTGGATAGCACACAAATATGAAATGCATTCAGTTAATGAAAAATGTATTATAACCAATTATAATCGTTAAACTTTTGGAAATGGGGATTGAACTATGCTAAATATTTAGATAACTGTCATTTTTGTTTTGTTTGAAATTATTTGAAAACTTGAAGTGTTATGATTTGGGAGCTGTATGTACTACTTGAACAGTGGAGCATATTTTACTTTAATGTTCTCCCTGATATCCAAGTCTATGCCTAAGGCTACGTTTTACTCACAGTGGGTATTTTTAGTAAAAGTCATGGACAGGTCACGGGCCATAAACACAAATTCACGGGCTGTGACCTGTTCATGACTTTTAATAAAAATACCCACGGTGACTAAAACTTGGGTGGGGGGCGTGGGTGCTCGGGGGCAGGGGGAGTATACAGGGGTGCTGCAGGTGCTCGGGCAGGTGACCTGCGACCCTCGCTGGGAGAGGGAGGGTTGGCGGGGCTCCCTACCTGGCTCCGTGTCTTTGCAGCTCCTAGGTGGTGGGGGCAGAGGCCAGCACCAGTTGCTGCAGAAGTCCTGGAATCCTTGACCTCTGCGACAGACTCGCAGCCTTACTTATGCCCTGCTAACAATTTGCTGCTGACAAAACAAGGGCAAGAAATATTTTAGTGAGAAGTTAGACCTGTATTTGAAACACTCTGCTCTTATTAACAGGTGGATTTTTTTTTAAATGAATACTAAAAATCTGAAGATCTCTCATCAGTTTTACAAACTGAAGAGCAAAATTGACTAGATATTGTACTAGTCAGCATCTGATACGTGGTTAAAGTCAAGGGCTAGATTGATACCTTTACTCATGGTGAGCAGTACCTTACTTCACAAGCCACTCCACTGAACTTCATTGGGGCTGCCTGTAGTGTTAAGTAATATTTAATATTAATAAAGATAATCAGTTTGGCCCTACAGATGTTACACTTTCAGGTAGTTTATGTCCAAATTTTAAGTGTGTGTGGTGTCTGTTCTGTTTAAATATAGGAAACTTAACGTTAACAGAAATTTCTGAGTATTTTCTAATTAAAAATGTGTTTTGGACTTAAACATTCATTAATGCATGAGAATGAAAAAGCAAAGCGGATTACAAAGAAATTGAATGGCTAATTTTTGTTGTTGTCAAATCTGAGTAAACTACAAAAAAAGCAAAAATAGTGAAATGCCAAATAGTTTTTTAGTTTTAATAATCTGATATGTATTAACATTGGTAAAGAAATATATACCTCTACCTCGATATAACGCTGTCCCCAGGAGACAAAAAAATCTTACCGCGTTATAGGTGAAACCGCGTTATATTGAACTTGCTTTGATCCACCAGAGTGCGCAGCCCGCCCCCCCCACCCCAAGAGCACTGCTTTACCGCGTTATATCCAAATTTGTGTTATATTGGGTGGCGTTATATCGAGGTAGAGGTGTATCTTTAAATCCTGGTCCCTCAGAAGTTAATGGGAGTTTTGCTATTGACTTCAGTAGAGCTAGGATTTCAACCACCCTATTTAAACAGGTTTCAGAGTAGCAGCCGTGTTAGTCTGTATCCGCAAAAAGAACAGGAGTACTTGTGGCACCTTAGAGACTAACAAATTTATTTGAGCATAAGCTTTCGTGGGCTACAGCCCACTTCATCGGATGCATAGAATGGAACATATAGTCAGGAGATACATATATACAGAGAACATGAAAAGGTGGGTAGTTCCCCTACCAACTCTAAGAGGCTAATTCCTCTCACCTTTTCATGTTCTCTGTATGTGTGTATAAATGATCTCCTGACTATATGTTCCATTCTATGCATCCGATGAAGTGGGCTGTAGCCCACGAAAGCTTATGCTCAAATAAATTTGTTAGTCTCTAAAGTGCCACAAGTACTCCTGTTCTTTTTGCATATTTAAACAATCACTTTGTTTCCTCAGGACCCTGCTTTGTTCAGGGTTAGATCAGTAGCTCCCAAACTTTTTAGAAGGAAGACCAACCATGGTTTTTCTTTCTGTGCGACCCACTGACCACCTGGAGCAGCACCGTCCACCCAGCACCACAATCCTAATCCCACCCAGTGCAGGGGGGAGAGGGGAAGGGGTTGTCAGAGAATGAGCCCACCCACCCTGACCGTGTTGCCATATCTCCTGTCCTGCGAGGCTGGGTCTGGCTCCCCATTCAAGGCATTGTGATCTTGCTAAGCTTGAGTGGCCCTGTGATCTCGTGCACCAGGCCACAACACCCGGAGCAGGAAGCTGGCCCTGGCCCCAGCTCCATGGGTCAGGATCCAAAGCTGTGGGGAGAATGCAAGGCAGGCTTGGTCTCCATCCCCCTCAGGCCTCCGCTCCAGGCCAGGCCTGCAATCCATTTGGGAAACGCTGTATTAGATAATGGTAATGAATAGACAGCTGAGCTTTTATTATATTCCCTCCTCAGTGACTTGACCCCTGCCTTGCTCACAACATGCTGTCCATCTTGTCCTTTGAGACCCTGATTAAATATGAAGCTTTTAAGCAAATGCTTAAATCCTAATGTTTTCAGTGGAATTTAAAAAAAAATTAAAGTTAAGCACATGTTTAAGTGCTTTCATAAATAATGATGCTTTTCCGGAATCTGGGCCTGAGATCAAATCTGCTCTTAACATATACATTTGAAGTGTGTTTTTGTATTTTTCTTTTTTCTATTTCTTCCCTTCCTCTGCAGTGACTTTTTTCCTTCTTCTCAGATTTCTTCCTTTTTCTGATCCAGGTGGCTTTTAATCTCCCTTTCTTGCTCCCACTCATATCTTCTTCTTTCCTCCTGTCCAGTGGTTCATTTTAGAGCTTAAAAGTTTTAGTTATTTTCTGTTTGTTATCCAAGAAGTAGAGCTGCAAGAGACAAAATTAAGCAGACAAAAAGAAGCCCATGTGATAGTTCTGGCCTACTACAACCTGTTAGTACAATAGGATTGAAAGAGCTTGCAAAAAAGGCTCATATTTGCTCAGTGCATTCCTATTGCATTTTCAATGGGTAACAAAGTGGTACATTGACTCATAGACTTTAAGGTCAGAAGGGACCATTATGATCGTCTAGTCTGACCTGCACAACACAGGCCACAGAATCTCACCCACCCACGCCTGTAATAAATCCCTAACCTATGTCTGAGCTATTGAAGTCCTCAAATCATGGTTTAAAGACTTCAAGGTGCAGAGAATCCTTCAGCAAGTGACCTGTGCCCCATGCTGCAGAGGAAGGCGAAAACCCCCCAGGGCCTCTGCCAGTCTGCCCTGGAGGAAAATTCCTTCTCGACCCCAAATATGGCGATCAGCTAAACCCTGAGCATGTGGGCAAGACTCACCAGCCAGACACCCAGGAAAGAATTCTTTGTAGTAACTCAGATCCCACCCCATCTAACATCCCATCACAGGCCATTGGGCATATTTACTGCTAATAGTCCAAATGCATGAACCATTCTCTATTAAAGGCTTACATTTAAGTTTGAATGTTGGTAATAAAACGTAACTTTTTACTTTCCCTGTCAATTTTGACCATCTCCATTTTGGTAAGAAACTTCATTGTGTGCATAAAGCAGAAATGGATGGGGCTACTAACTCTTTAACTATGCATCAACATTAAAGATGATTTTACCAGGAAAATATGCAAATCTTAGTTAACAGAAGATCACATTTTTGCCTTGCTACCCAGGTGGTAGCTACTTGTGATTATTTTGGCAAAGGGAGTGGAGAATATTAAGAATGATGGGAATAGTTATTTAGAACTAGAGAGCTTCCCCTTCAAAATAAAACAAATTTAAACCATATCAGAGTTTAGACCTAAACTTTAGAAAAACTTGAAATAGTTATATAGTGGGCAACCTAATATTTGTTGGTATAGAAAGAAGAAATTTAACAGTTGCAAATATTCTGATTTAAAGATTGATCCACTTTTTTTCCAAGTGCGGCTTAACACTGTAAACTAGTGGTTCTCAAACTTTTTTTTTTCCCCGCGGACCACTTGAAAATTGAGAGTTTCGGAGGACTACTTAATGATCTTTCCAAATGTGGTTTGTACAGTTCGCTAACTATTGTAAAGTGGTTTGGATAAAAGCGCTATATTAAAAAAAACCTTAATAATAATCTTTTTTTTTTGTTCTACAAATAAAAGCACACAACTCATACTTTAAGATCAGTAGTCTTACCTTTCTAATGCAATGGATGTGCCCTCTCTCCCCTGCCACGGCAGCCCCCAAGTTGGGGCTGGGAAGAGGGGAGTCTCTCCCCTGCCACAGCAGCCACAGAGTTGAGGCTGGGAAAGAGGGTCATCTCTCCCCAGCAGCTGCAGCCCTGGAGCTGGGGAAAGTCACCTCTTTCTCTGGCTGCTGCAGCCCTGCACATCCCAAATCTCTCCCCACCCCCTCTTCTCACCCCACAGTCCCTTCCCACCTACCCCCTATTTTCCCCCCAAGGCCACCACCTCACCTTACATGTGCATCTTCTCCAGGGTCCAGGCACCTAATTAGTGGAGCCACGCCTGCGTAGCTCCACTAATTAGGTGGATGGCCCTTCATTCTCTTGTGTGCGGCCGCCCAGGCTTGCAACTTAGAGGGAGCTATCCGCAGACCACCTGAATGGAGCTCGCGGACCATTGGTGGTCCATGGACCACAGTTTGAGAACCTCTGGGATAGACAACTCTCGAAGGTGCAGGAGTTCATATAAAAAACTCGAACTGTTGATTAATATGGATCTGTATATATTGATGTATGTGTAGTACATATGTATGCCCATAAGTATCTTCTTATTTTAAAGATATGGACCTTGGTTGTCGGTTATCTGTTGACCATTTCATTCAAGTGGAATGCAAGCACTGAGCGTTACTTAAGAGCAATCTCCATTCCTGTCTGGATAATACTGCTCTTCCACTTAGGTGGGTAACACATCATCGTGTTTATGTATAAAATGTAATTCGGAAGCTTAACAAAGAACAACCTTGGGCTAAATTCTCAACTGAGATCCAGCCCCTTTGCCCTCCTCAGGTGGCGCAAAGGATCCAGATTCTTACTGCAAATAGCCAGCAGAGAATTTCTCTTGGTGCAGGAGAACTCATTGCTGGTGTAAAGTTTGCAGGAGGTAGCTTTTGTGCTACTATCCCCCTGGAGTAATGAACAGGGAGGGGATATGGAAGAACTCTGTAGCACTGCCCGCCTTTTTTTTCCCCACTGGTGTAAGTTAGAGCAGCTACTCTAAATGCTGGCGGGGGCCAGGTGCTGATTGGCCCTTAGACTCAAGGATCAGAACCAGCTCCTTGACAGAGCTGGCCACAGGAGAGAATTTGGTCCCCCATCTGTAACTTTTTACACTTTTTTTTTTTTTTTGAGAGAATCACAGTAACAAAGATTAAAGATCTAAAAGCAGAATTAACATGAAAATAAACTCTTCCTCCTACAGCCAGTCCGAGCATATTGATAATATCAAGGATGTTTAATTTTTTTTTTACTAAGATTGTGTTCTATTTCTGCCTTTCTAATAGCATAACTGTATGGGCTCACTAGCCATTACAGTAGCTAATTAATACATTAATAATCTAATATCCTTAAAAGAGCTCATAGCTCACTCCTTCTTCATGTCTTACTGAGGCAGCATCTCTTTTGCATTGTTGCACAAATTTGCCCATACGTACACTATTTTGTGGTTTTAAGATCTCACGTAGTGGCTTTGTGGGTTAGTTTTCAGCCAAACAAATATTGGTCTTCAAATTTTCTCCCCCCCCCCCCCCCAAAAAAAAAAAGCAAGCAAGAAAACTCCTTGGTCTCATTCTATATAGAAGTTCTACTAAAAGGAAGTTGTTTCTTTAGTTATTCTGAAATGTAAGTATTTTAAAAAATAATTTTAAAATTATATATTCAATATAATGTAATACTAATTGAATAAAAAGAACGCTGACTAATAGGTATTAGAATGAGTATTGAGAAATGTAAATGTCCCATAAGAATGGAAAGAAATGCATAAAATGTCTAAATATTTTTTTAGATGTAGAAAAATTTCTCACACTTCTGTGATATTAGACACTGATACCTATCTATAATTGCTAGGTTTCACTTGTGGCTGCCCTCTTCAGAATGGCTGCATTACACTAACATTTTTGATTAAATTCTGAAAAACTTTGCTGAAAAATCTTTTTTTTTTTTTTTTTTTTTCTCCAGCTTCTGTGGCTGGCTCTTGGAGGATTCCAGTATTTCTGGTTATAGTATTTCTGATGACTGTGGGCATGTTGCATGAGCAAGAGGGCGGAAAGGAGTCTTCTGGTAAGAAATAAGTCACTTTTCTTCTGCTGTCAACCAAGGTAAACTTATGGAAAATGTAGGACTTGAAATCTTACAATTGCTTGGGTTACTCATGAGTTTATTTTAATATCATATGACTTGTGTATGTGTACTCTCTATTATAGCGAAAGTAGGAGTTTTTGCTAATTAAAAATATCATGGATTATGCTTCCTAAAACTGAAGTCTGATTGGGTCTATCTAATAAAATATTTTGCAGTATACTAATGTTAGGTTTCTGTAATGTCTCTCTATAGAATGCAAACTGTTATTCTAAACTGCAATTTCTGTTCCACTTCTAGCTTCTCATTAGTGTAACCAATATGCTTGCAGACTGGGTTGCTTATACAAAGACATGAGAAGAATACTTTCTCAGAACCGGGGCAATACAGGATTAAAGATGTTTGTTTTTTTACTAATTCATATACTCCAGTTTAATGTTTTCCCAGCACAAATGTTCATTTTCAGAGCTCCAGTCATGGGACAAAGGCATTTTGTCAGTGGGTAGTTTTAAATCCTAGGAGACTTTCTAGGGAAATGTTATTTAGGAGTCTTAGGCCTGGTCTACACTAGGTGGTGGTGGTGGAGAAATCGATTTAAGTTGCGCAGCTTCAGCTACGTGAATAATGTAGCTGAAGTCAACGTACTTAGATCTACTTACCACGGTGTCTTCACTGCGGTAGGTCGACTGCTGATGCTCCTCCGTCAACTCCGCCTATGCTTCTCGCTCCGGAGGAGTACCGGAGTCGACGGAAGAGTGCTTGGCGGTTGATTTATCGCGTCTTCACTAGATGCAATAAATTGACCCCCACTGGATCGATCGCTCCAGAGGTAAGTGTAGACATGCCCTTAATCTTATACTGGGGCCAGAGAGTGTGGGATGGGATCAGGCTGAACAAACCAGTTTCATTACACTGGGCAGTGTCATACATGTTAGTATCTGTGCTCTGATTCCAGAGGACTAAAAATCTTCCAGGATCAAAGATAAAGGTAGGACACTGAAGATGAGAACTTAAGCTTGCAGAGGAAATGTGGAAAGAGGAATTCCCTGAGTTGTGATGGGGAAGAGAACCTGAAGGAAAGAAAAAGAATCTTGAGAAATAAAGAAAACACTTCCCTTTTCCACTCATCTTAATGCACCCTGATCCACATGGAGGGAATTCCAGAAAACAAAGAATCCTTGCCCTCAAATTGATTGTCCCTGGGAAGTATGCAGTAGGTCCCAGGGAGTAAAGAACTCGTTCTGCACTCCCATCATGTCCTGTTGCTCTTCAGCAGGGTGGTCTAGGGCAGGGGTTCTCAACCTTTTTCTTATTGAGGCCTCCCCCAACATGCTATAAGAACTCCATGGCCCACCTGTGGCACAACAACTGGTTTTCTGCATAGAAAAGCCAGGGTCTATGTTAGGCGGTAGCAAGCAGGGCAATTGCCTGGGGCCCAATGCCACAGGGGCCCCCGTGAACCTAAATTGCTCAAGTTTTGGCTTCCGCCCTGGGTGGTGGGGCTCAAGGCCTCTGGCTTCAGCTCCATGCGGTGGGGCTTCAGCTTTCTGACCTGGGCCCCAGCGAGTCTAATGCTAGCCCTGCTTGGTGGACCCCCTGAAACCTCCTTGCAGCCCCCCAGGGGCTCAAACCTTTGTTTGAGCACCACTGCCCTAGAGAATAAAGAAGATCACAGCAGAGCATTCATAGTTCAAATAATTTGAAGAACCTAAGAAAATTCCAAAACTTTGTTAAACTGAAGTTAAGGTTGAGCTACATATTGGTAAATTAAGATTAAAACATTTCAATACTTGTGTAGTTAGTCTGGGGTATGCAAGAAGCATTGGAAACCCAGGAAATTCACAATTAAGATTAAATTTAAAAGAAACACACTTAAATATGTGGAATGCATGGTTAAAGTATGTCAACAACTTTAACTGCACCTGTAATCATGTCGGAGGTGGGCAGTAGGGAGACTAGGGCTTCTCTACTGAGGGTTTGAATCTATAGCACACCAGTTTGCTGTGAAGTTATGTGCCGTCTGGATGAAGCTACAGCACAATGGAAGTCCCTGTGTGGCTTTAAGTAGTAGCATGCCAAGCTGCACTCCAGAACTTCTTGTACTGTGCAATAGCGGTGCCCACACAGGATGTTGCTGTGTGTCAAACTGGTGTACTGTAGAGTCACACACTGTGTTAGAATCATAGAATATTAGAGTTGGAAGAGACCTCAGGAGGTCATCTAGTCCAATCCCCTGCTCAAAGCAGGACCAACACCAACTAAATCATCCCAGCCAGGGCTTTGTCAAGCCGGGCCTTAAAAACCTCTAAGGATGGAGATTCCACCACCTCCCTAGGTAACCCATTCCAGTGCTTCACAACCCTCCTAGTGAAATAAGTGTTGCTGTGCAGTAACTTATTGAGACCATTTTACCAATCCTTAAGTTTCTCATTAGTAACCACAAATGCTTAGAATTCTTCCACTCAGCATTTTCCATTAAGATCCAAGTGTAGATGTCAGTTGAGATTAAACTGTTTTCTCCTACTATGAATTCCACTGGATGGAAGTCATCCCTCATGCATACTAGTTGTACCAAAATAGTTCCTAGTTTTTAGGAACTGAGAGCTCCTCATGTTGGCTGCAATGATTAATCATTGAGGATACAGTACATGGTCCAATTTACATTTGGCTGGTGGTCAGTACTCAAGCACTCCTAAAAATACTTAGAATATGGATTTATTGCACCCTCTGACACAATTTTCCCTGAAACTGTTCTTCTTGGTCACTAAACTTTATTACTAACCATAGAGGTTTCAGGTTAATCAGATTGCTTGCCACTTGAAACAGTTTTGGTGAGCTGGATTTCACCGATGATATGGGTGACAAGAAGAGAGATCTCTTCCTAGGTAGTCCTGGGGGAATACTGTGCCACAATATTATAAAATTCTGCATGTTTTATTTGTTAAAATAATGCAATATAATCAAAACAGTTTCAATTATTTTGGTCATTTATTTCAGAATACCTGTCAGCAAGTATATCTGTAAGAATACAGACGACAAAAAAGATTCATGAAATGTTTTTTAGGCAATAGATTTCTTACTGGTAACTTTGAGTAAATTAATTTAAACTATTGAACAGAAATGTATTTCCTGCACCCCTCAGAAGCAGTGCAAAGGCAGGGAGCGGGGGGTGCAGATCGGGATAATGGAGGAGCTGAAGGAGAGGGAAGTAATTGCTGGGAAGGAGGCAGGGAGTGAACCTGGAGGGTTGTTGGATGTGGTGTGAGAAGTATGGTACAGGTTTTTTTAGGGGCAAGGGGATGGAGGGATGATTGGCGCTCTCCCCCCATGCAGACTTCAGTTGACCCCTATCCTCTGTCAGGCACATCTGTCCCTGTCTCCATGTGACCCTGCACCCCTCTCCCCGTCCACATTTAGCCCTTCACCCTCACTCAGCCACCCTTGCACCCCCACTTCCATTCAGCCTCTGCCCCAGTCTGTCCCCCACACTAGCCCTTCTGAACCCTAGTCTGTGATCTCCCCAGCAGCCCTATGTGCCCCATGCTGTCTGTCTCCCCCTCCCCCCATGTTCTGGCCTCCTTATCTGGACATATGGGCAGGGCGCTGTTAGGAATGCAGTGTCTCCTGCTCCCTCTCCCCTCGCTGTGGCTGGCTGCTCCAAAGTGGGAGCAGCTGCCCTCTGTTCTGGTGCCATAGCAACCCCTAGTGGGTGAAAGGTGTAATTGCAGCACCTTTCAAGCAGACTGTAAAAAGCAACAGAGGGTCCTGTGGCACCTTTAAGACTAACAGAAGTATTGGGAGCATAAGCTTTCGTGGGTAAGAACCTCACTTCTTCAGATGCAAGTGAGATTCTTACCCATGAAAGCTTATGCTCCCAATACTTCTGTTAGCCTTAAAGGTGCCACAGGACCCTCAGTCTGAATCTGTAAAAAGCAACAAACACGGCTACCCCTCTGATACTTCAAGCAGACTGTATTTTATGTGGAGGGGAAAAAAAATTCTGCAGGAAACATGAATTTTTCAGTGGCACAGAATTCCCCCATGAGTATTCTAGACTACAGCCATGGCATAAAATGCATACATTTCCTTGAGACTAAATTTTGAAAAGTTCTCAGTGATAGATGTGTGACGGGTTGGACCCCTTAAGGTGCCACCTGGTGTGCTGGGATATCACTGATCCCGCCTGTTTTGCCAACCAGGGCACCCTTTTTACCTGTCTTGCTGAGCCAGGCTATCAAGCCTCCGCCAGCACGCACACACACACAGGCAGGGCCACACCCAACTGCAGAATGACACAGATACTGAGATCAGCTTTGGGAAGCCTCAGCTTAAGGGACTTGCCCCAGCACTCAGGTGTCCACCTCCCTTGGAGTGCAGACCCAAAGGTATATTATGAAATCCACCTTCTTCCCTCAATGTGGAATAAGGTATGCACAGTCTCTTACCCCCCACCCATTATGCAATGCACAAATGGGGTTGTATTATAAACAAGAAATAAGTTTTTTTATTAACTACAAAAGGTGAATTTTAAGTAGTTAAAGAGATAGTAATCTGCTTTGTTCTGTTTGCTAAGCAAATAAACCAAAACACGCATACTAAGCTTCTTTCACTAAAGAAATTAGTTACAAATAGTAATTTCTCACCCTAAATATTGTCACAGGTAGATTACAGAAAGTCTTGAAATGCAGCTTCACTGGTCTCCAGTTTGAGACCTCAGGTATCATTACTCCGAAGCTAGATGCCCTTCTAGCTTGGGCCCACCCCTTCTCCCCCCCCCCCCCCCCCCCCCCCCCCAGTTCAGTTCTTGTTTCCAGGTGTTTTTCAGTGCATCTTTGGGTGAGGAGGCAGAGAAGAACCACAATGATGACACTCCCCTGCCTTATATAGCTCTTGTGTGTGTGTGTGTGGCAGGAATCTTTTGTCTCCCAGTGGAAGAACACTGGCATTCCAAGGGGTGAGTCCAGTACCAGGTGACTCAGACCCATGTCTCTGCAGGGCTGTGGCAGCCGTTATTCATAAGCTGTCTGGAGCATCCACAGGAAGACTAAGCTCTTTCACAGTCCATTGTCTTTGCTAACGGGCCATTAGCCCTGTCTGGCTTTTCCATTGTTGTACCTGAAGGGCTAGTTGGGGGTGACACCCAAAGTAACTCATTTGAAATACAGATACATAGTTAATACTCCTAACTTCAGATACAGAAATGATACAGGCATACAAACTGGATAATCACATTCAGTAAATCATAACCTTTCCAATGATATCTTACATGAGCCATCTTGCATAAAGTATCTGTTATGTCATATTCATATCAGAAGCATATTTGCATAAAGAATATGGAGTGAAACATCACAAGATGATCATACTGGGTCTACATAATATATGTAACTATTAAAGTGAATATTTATCCACTTCATTGAAATTGTACTTCAGTGAAACTAGATGTTGAGCAACAGAAATAAAAATAGTATTGTGATAAGAATCAACCTCTTCCCAACTCTTTACTTATTTGTGTATTTATTTTTATAGGAACAGAACTTCCTGGTCAAATGATTTCCATTGCTGCTTCTACAATTGCCATGGCAATATCTGTCACAGGATATGAGTCAAGTAATGAGCAACATTCACCCCAACCCTCAGGTGACTGATCACTCAGTAAGAAAATATTTGAACTTGTTCTAAAAGCATGAACCAAGAGGAAACTAGAAACAATTTTTAAAACATTTTCTGACCCACAAATTACCACACTTTTCCCTGTGGAGTTGGTGTTCCTGGTTTAAAAGTTGTTCAAAAGACAGCAGTATTAACATGTAAATGACTATTTTACATACAATTTTCATGACCTAGTCATTTAAACTGTTACCTGCAGATACAGAAGTGGTGCCAGGGAGAAGTTTTCTTTCATAATTAGAGTTCTGTGAAAAGAGCTTTTTCTTAGTGTATTTCCTGCTGTACTTATTTCTTTCCCTTGATATCTTCATGGTAGCAAGAAAAAGTTAGGCTTCGTGTGTGAGTGGAGGCAGCCTTGAACATGCTTTGTAATGCAAGACTTTGTGGACAGTACTGTGGAGGCAAAAGGCTTCCTTTTGATCTGCTCAACCATGGCACAAGACTTAACGTTTTTTCTTGCAGTTTAATTCAGCATGCAGTTTCAAAGACAGTGTATCTAGTTTCTGTTGCAGGTAATCTGTAAGCAGCAACTTGAGAAGATGAAGGTTCAATAAGTATTATTTGGGGGTGGAAAGCCTCTTTGGTCATGGGCAAAAGATCACTATAACAACTAAATAAGCCTTTGATGGAATATTTTGCTGACAAAATAATAGTCCTCCAGAACTCTCTGGAAACTAAAATATTCCATCAACATCTGAGGATGAACTATCAAAATAGGCACAGCGACCTGACGGGACTAGAGTGCCCTAATCTCAAACTTGAACTTGAATATCCTAAATAAAAATAAATTTCAAGCTACTGAAAAAATAAGTGAGTTTAAAAGACATGATCTTGGTTTCAACACAAATAATGCTTCATGTGATGAGACATACAGATCAGTGTATGCTTATTTCAAGCACACGACATTAATAAAATTTCTTCTAGCTAAACATTGGCTTCATTGAAGTTAAAAAGCTACTTCCACCACCAGGTAGTAACTGATGTGCAGCAGTCTAACTATATCTCTCTCTGAGAGAGAGAGATACACAAGTGTATTCACATACACGTTTACTAATTTAAGTGTTCCAATGCAAATAGTACTCAAAGAAGATTTAGGTTTGAAACATTTAGCAACACACTCATTTTTAAAATAATGGCAGTCTTTCTGCTCTCATAGTATTTCATGCTGTTCCAAGTGAAACTAACCTCTTCACTCAGACTAGCATGCTAAAATTTCAAAGATAAGCACTTCTTCACATGAATAAATTGGAAAAAAATGTCCAAAGAGATCTCTTGAAATTTCAGGTTGGAGCAATATGGCTATAGCTGTCTTCTTTTCTTTTGCAGCTGTTTCCCTCGAGTGTGGGGTGTGGTGTTTTTGCTTTGCTCACCCCCTCGTGACTCTCGCGCGCCCCCCCCCTCCAAAAAAAAAGAGATGTATGAAGCCAGGAAGTATGAGAGAAGTGATTTAGCTAGATTTTTTGGATGGCCTGCTGGTCATGTGTCAAACAGTTGCCAATAAATGCAATACATTCCTCCACTCCAATCTGATATTTCTTCTTGGAAGCTGGATTGGAAATATGTTTTCTTTAAGGCAGATTATTTTTATTCTTAAAGGTTTAGCTATGCCTCTCACTGGAGATTATATATCTGTGAATAATATACATGCATGTGCGGCAGGTATACATTCTATAAATGTGCTTTGGGTAACTTTCTTGGGAATATAACCCCATTTTTCAGTGTAGATTTTGTAGTCAACTTTCCTTTATAGTCAGAAAGGGGGAAAAAAATGGGACTCCCTGTCTTCTTTTGATGGAATCAATTTTCCAGACTGATCTAGCAGTCTTCTTTGGGAACGTTGTTCATCATTATTGATCAACTGAGTGTTTTCAAATTTCTACTTGGTTTTGTTCTGCCATGTTCATGGTTGTTGAGGCTCAGAATTCTGGAACTGCAAATCTTAAACACTTAACTTTATTTTGTTGATCCAGAGTGACTTGTTATTTTCATCCTACTTTGGAACTCTGTTTTTTCATGAGAGGTTTAAGATTCTACAGAAGTTTTTCAGTCATTCTTCAAGCTTAACCATCAGGTATACATCAGTTTTCAGAATGAAGACTCCTGTGTGCCTATTCTGCAAATACATTACTGGTTCTAAGTGGTGTTTATTAGTTGCAGAAAAATTGATTATTTCTGAATTTTGATACTGTTGCTTTTCATTAGTTGGTCAAAGAACAATGCTTCAAGCTTTCTGCTAGTGTTTGCACTTACCCACAATGTTAATTTTAAAAAAAATTGTTACCACACTATAAGGCATTTCGGTTATACAGACCTTTATTTGTGCTTCCCTTGTTTTGTGGCTGAATATTGTGGAAATTCTATTCCATCAATGATCATACCGTCGGGAAGGACCCAGTATTACGTGTTTCTAAAATTTCTGGTAAGTGAAAGCAAATGCTGCCGTATTTTTTTGGGGAAAATGGATAGGCTAAGTAGCCATGTGGCAGGACTTATAGGAGCTATCATCTCAAGTCTCTTGCCTTTGCTTTAGCACTTTCTTCCCACTGACGTATGTTTGGAGTTTTGCCCACTACTATAACATTGCTTAGATTTACCATATTGTGTTTGGGAATGAAAGTAAGAGGAAAGGAGTTGTGTACATGCAGTAATCTATAAAATAATATAGTTCCTAGAACTTTTTTGGACGCTAAACTCCTGATGGTGATAAATATGACTTAACAGAATATCCAGCAGAGGAATTGCATTCTTTGCCTGAGTGATAGTTTCCGACTTTGTTACATTATGTATCTTTTACTATTCAGCATGGTACAGCTTTTCAGATGAACTAGGGCCTGGTCTTCCTGCATGATCATAAGTGTTCTTCAAGTAATGTCAGTCCCAGTTAGTGATATTCTATGCAAAATCAGGTTTGAAGATAACCAAGAACCCTGCTGGTATTTTTTTTCCCCCATCAACTAAAACCAGGCACTTCATGCTAGTAAAGCTTAATAAAATCAATTCCCAACACCTCTGAGGCTGGTTTTGTTGAACACTGAGTTGGGGGTTGAAGACAGAACCGTGTAATGGGTAGACTAGTGTAGGATGCAGTTTTGTTGCCTGGCTCTTATGCAGATGTCTACAACCAGAAGAGCCACCTGCAAATTTCACTGACAGTAGTATCTGTCTATATAAAGTAGGGATGCAGATTTGTCACAGCATTTTTATTTCTTAGTGAAAGTCACAGATTTTGTGTGTTTGTTTTTTTTTGTTTTCGTTTTTTTTTATTTATTTAAAAAAATAAACAGTGACACGAATGAGGAGGAGGGCTGCTGGAGAGCAAGCCCACCCCACGTTCCTCCTGAGGCTCAGCCCAGCTCCCCACTCTGGCCGTTGCGACCTGGTGCAGGGGGTTGCAGTGCCGTTCTGGTTTGGCCCAGCCATCCTTTCATTGACAGCACCTGGTCTCAATAACCAGAGTTGGGAGGTGGGCCCAGCCTTGTGGGACAGAAACCGCTACTGTGGAGTGAGTTTAATAAAATTATGGACACAAAACAAATCACAGACAAATGGGAAAATCACAGTATCCATGACCTTTTTCCAACTATGACAAACCTGCAGACCTAATACCAAGATTCCAGAATTGTCCCTCTGAAGATTAGAATGTCTTTTGTGTCAGTAAGAAGTGATGGATACTGTTATCATGGTTGAGAGCTTTTTTGTTCAGAATATTACCAGGTTCAATCAACACTGGGATTCACGGTCTGTTACCATCTGATTTTTAAGTTCTCTGCCATTTTGGGTTTACAGATCACACCTGTGCGAAAGCTACTAGTTTATCTCCAAAAGTCAAAGAACAAAAATGAGCCACACAAATGCTTTTGTAGAATATTAGTACATTGCTTTACAGTAAGTCTCTTTGGGGTGGGGGAATGGAATGCATTCTAATTTTCTGTAAACTGGGATTTTGATTAGAATGAAATATTATACACTGGTTAAGTAGTCAGCACTTCTTAAATTTAATTTTTAATGTGTTCATCTTTAACTTTTAAACTAGTGAAGATGAAGCTTAATTAAACATTTAGTGTCATCTGAGTCATACAATGACATTGGTTATCTATTAATTTTTAAAGTTGTTGTTTAATATCCTTGGAAACAATACCATAAAGAAAACAAAGTATGACATGCAAGGTAATATCATTGAGATCACAGCATGAATATTGTATAATTGTAGTGTGATCATATCTGAAAAGAACACCACATGTTATACTTAAATGATTTGTAAGATGGAAGTGTTAACTTCAAAGTATAGTGTGTGTGCTTTGAAGTTGTTGTCTGTTACAGCTGTCCCCCGGCCTGCTGGATTCCCTTCCCCCCCCCCCCCCCCCCCCCCCCCCTTCTTTTTTGGCCAAGGGGCCCCCCCCCCCCCCCCCCCCCCGGCCATGAAACTGACCAAAGTCACAGCCTGGCCCTGTTCATGGAAATGGCTTGTGCAGACTGACTGGAGCCATTGCTCAGCTGGGGTGGGGGGGGCTTTTTGCTCCTTTGTCTAGCTTCTTTGTTCAGAGCCGGCTCGGTGTAGGGTGCTTTGCCCAGGTATGCAAGACCTAAAGTGGTCACATAGCTAAGCATATGAGTCATACCTGTGGCTCAGAACTTGCCCAGACATGTCCTGTGCCTACCTGCAGTTTCCCCTGCCTTCTGTCCTCCCCTGGATTAAGGGGAACCAATCAGAGTTACTGGCGGGAAACTGCCTGAGTTTGCCTATAAAACCAGACATTTTCTGATCAGACCGCCGGAGAAGGTCCTTGCTTTGCCACCTGGTCTGATCAGCTAGGGGTCTTTGGGGGGCCCTCTCCCCGCTCTCATTTGTTTTTGAGTGTACCCCCGTTTTTAAACTCCCCTCCCACGAACAACGAATTTGTGCCTGGAGATCTCCCGATTATTGTAAGCGAATCGAGTCCTCTGTGTCCTCTGATGGTGAAACTGCTGTTCCCGCTGCTGCTTTGGGGATTGGTAAGGAAAAACCTCTTGCACACTCCCCTTGTTTTAGCTGCTGGCTTTCTTTCCCCCAGCAGGCAGACCCAAGCTAACTCCTTGGTCTGTTTCTTGCTCCGCAGCACCTTTGCTGCTAGAAATAGGCCTGTGCCTTCCTGGACTGTATCCTGGGCACACACCACTCTGCCCTCTGAAACTACCCCTAGTATAAGGTGCACCCATTAGGTTAGATTTAGCCTTTAGTCCAGATAAATTGTAATTTCATTTTGCATAGCTGTGGTTAAGTTAGGTTTAGGAAATTGCTTGCATTGTACTCTGTAAGTTAGGCTTAAAGAATTGTTGCATTGTGTTTTGTTACTTGCTAATTTGTATAGTCTTGGTTAAGTTAAATCATAGATAAGATTTTGCTGCGTTCTGTATAATTGTCTCTCTGCTGTTTAAACTTGCAGCCTGTCTGCTCTCTGTGTCTCCCTGAGTTTAAATCTCCCTCCACCACATGCTCCTCTTCCCCATCCCCCAACCTCATTCCTCTACCACTTTTCTTCTTCTCTCTCTCTTTTAATCCCTTCCCCCACATGCTCACCCTGCTCCTACTGCTACCAAACCTCAATTGTATTACTGAAGTCTAGCATAAAACCCCATTGGTTACCCCTTTTCTCTCTAACACACCTCACATTTTACATTTACACCACTGTGACAAATTTTTACCTAAAGTTGTTGATTATTTAACACATTTTACCCATACTGTTAGTTGGTTATATGCTGCTGTGACACACTCTTTACATAGAAATTGTTAGCTACCTGTTACATTTATGCTTCAGTGTTAATTGGTTACCAACTGTATTGTACCCCACTGTATTGTACCCCACTATTGAAACCCCCTATCCTATTTACTAAAAGAAACCCCTCCCCAATTGTCTACCTTAAACCCCATACCCCTCAATATTGAATTTTCCCTGTTTTTACATTTTCTTAATAAAGTTTATTTTGCACCCCACCAGTGCAGTAGTTGTCCCCCAAGATCCCCTACCTGCTGGCAGGGTCAGAAGTGTAGGGCTTTGATTTAAAAATAGCCTGGAGCATGCATTTGGATTTTATTGAACTCATAGACAAAATACATTATTCATGAGAAGTCATTCTTCCGCTCTACTCTGCTCTGGTTAGGCCTCAGCTAGAGTATTGTGTCCAGTTCTGGGCACCGCATTTCAAAAAAGATGTGGAGAAATTGGAAAGGGTCCAGAGAAGAGCAACAAGAATGATTAAAGGTCTTGAGAACATGATCTATGAAGGAAGGCTGAAAGAATTGGGTTTGTTTAGTTTGGAAAAGAGAAGACTGAGAGGGGACATGATAGCAGTTTTCAGGTATCTAAAAGGGTGTCATAAGGAGGAGGGAGAAAACTTGTTCACCTTAGTCTCTAAGGATAGAACAAGAAGCAATGGGCTTAAACTGCAGCAAGGGAGGTCTAGGTTGGACATTAGGAAAAAGTTCCTAACTGTCAGGGTGGTTAAACACTGGAATAAATTGCCTAGGGAGGTTGTGGAATCTCCATCTCTGGAGATATTTAAGAGTAGGTTAGATAAATGTCTATCAGGGATGGTCTAGACAGTATTTGGTCCTGCCATGCGGGCAGGGGACTGGACTCGATGACCTCTCGAGGTCCCTTCCAGTCCTAGAATCTATGAATCTTCGCCATAAGGATAATACAGTAAATTCTTCTCATTTTATAGCTAACAGTATAGTATGCATCTTAGATTTTGTTTTCCTCTGGAAAACTTAACACATTCTGTATATTTTTGTTGGGTTATCTGGTGAAGCAGGATTGCACTGCTATGCATTTAGCTGTTAAGACCCTAGGGTAAATGTTGGTGATCTACTAGGTAACCTCTTTCAGTTCATCAGTAGAAATTAATGCGATAACTTCTTCTTTTTCTAGAAACAGCAGAAAGTGGGCAAGCCTCATCCTCTTCGTTTTCCTCCTCTTCATCCACTTCCGGTGGCAGACACAGGCCTGAGGTTGGAGGTTTTCTTAGAAAGAAGAAAACCAGTGATATCTACTTTGTTACACTTGTATGGGCCATCGTCGTAGTCCAAATCTGGCTGAATCTCTGGATTGTGCAGTTACTGCCAGTGCCTGTTGCAGGTCATTGTCTAGTTCTTAATAATGCCAGTTAAAATATTACTTACAACACTGTTGGATTTTTAGAACTTCTTACTTATCTTGCACTTAAATGTGGATGCTTTATTTGCCTATCTTCAGACTATTATGAAAATACTATGTGTGGTTGTAGCACAGATTCACTTAATTTATAATTATAAGCAGTTACAGAATGTCTGTTGTCGTATCTAGCTGACTGATAAATCTTAAAATGAACTTAATAATTAGAAGAGAGAACATGCTTCTTTGCTGCCTTCATCTCTTAATCGGACAATTCAATTAAGAATTCAGTCAGTTGGCAAAGTATGAGCAAAGAGGTGCCTGTTCCAACTCTTTCTAAAAATGGTAGGTTTGTGTTTCAGCATATTTTTGTGGATATCCACTTTCAGAAACGTGGCCTACCACCAAGAATGATCTTCCTTTAGCACTAAAATGTTTCACCCTTGATTGGAGAAGAAAAGTGGTTTATAGTTTTCTTGTCTGAAAAATATCCAAAATCAGATATTTTCCAGAGCATTAAGAAACTCCATAGTGATCGGTTATGGAATAACTTGCCCATGAAGGAATTTTTTTCCCTAACCCTTGTAAGTTAAGACTAGCTTTTGAAGTATGGACGTTATTCCTTTTAGAAATGGGTAGATCACATCCAGTGTAATTGTAAATGTTCTTATATTTTTGACCCTATGCTATTTAACATTTTCAACAATGACATGGATGAAAACAAAGTAAAGATGGGGGAATGATAAGTAATGAAACCGACAGGTCACTGATACAGAGTATTGTTTTTGTTTTGTAACATTCGTATTTCCAATCAATATAAAGTTATTCTGTTTATTTTTTTAAAACCCCTCCTTTGACAGCCCAGTGGTTCTAGTTTACCGTATACAACTTAATGATTCACTGTTCTAGGTTTGGTGCAGTTTATAATTATGCTGCCCCTTTATGGCTTAGTCAATAAATCTAATAGATAAGGCTAGAAGGGACCATTGTGAAAGGAAAAAATGTTCTTGCATTATAGGAAAAGATATTTGTATAGAGAGGGCTTGATTTTTTTTCCCCAGAGTAGAGAGGGCTGTGACTAAATGCTACTCCATGTTTCCGAAATGTCTTGATACTGTAAACACTTCCCATTCAGTTCACTTACACTTCAGAAGAATGATGTTCTCTTAGATTTACTTTGTTCAGGATGGTGGGAATTTTTTTCATAAAACATAGAGGGGCAAGAAGAATTTTAGTTTAAAATTTAAACAGAAGACCAGTCGTGAAACATCTTAAACTTTTATTAAGTGCAGCATGCGTGTGAAAATAGGCTGACTCCTCTATTAATTTGTTCCCTTGTTCTGTTTTTTTCCCTTTTTATTCTACCCCTTTTGCAGCTCATGTTCACTTCCTTTATACTACTTGCTATACCTTGTGGGTAGCTAGTTTTCCTCTTTTCCTAATTAGGATTCTTCTGCTTTCACTGGATTTACTTCTCTTTTCTGTATTAACAAGATATGACTACTATACCACAAATATGCATGGAGCCTTCTGATATGCTTTTGTCAATTGTTTTAGGAACTAATGCTTGGGAGTTTTTGGTAAAATGTAGCATTTTGGAATGTGTGCAATATATTCTTCATTTTTGGACATTTATTGGTACTTAAGTCTAGCAAGATACTTAATTGTTAATGCAGTACACAAGTTTGCCACATGGTGGAGCCAATAGTAAGTAAAAGCAAAGCTTGGAAAAATTGTAAAATTGCTCTATTTGTGAGCAAGAGCATAAGCTTACAGAAAAGGTTTACAGATAAGTCTTTTGTTGAACTTTGATAAACTCCCTGTAGACATTAAAATTTGACCTTTAGGGCGATGACATTTTGTGTATCTAGATATTTCCAAAAGAAGGCATGTTGAGGGTTTATTTTTTGTAGTGTTTGTCAATAGATACTGCATCTAATTTGGAGGAGTTTTTAAATGAACATTATAAGAGTTTTATTAAATATTAACATGATTTGTTAGACTATTAAAACATTTCTATACTGTTGCAGTGAATAAGTTTTTTTTTTTTTTTTTTTTTTTTTTTTATTTTTATTTTTAATGTTGCTTAGGGGCCTGTGTTGCTTTAGGATACTGATTTCAACACAACCATTTACCTCAAAGGATTTTTGGTTTGGTGCATTGTGAACAAATTTAAATAAAATCTTTGCATTCACTTTAATTGATCCATTTTATGACATTCAGCATTGCTGCCTTGTGGCAAAACTAATCTACAATAAGAAGTAGTCCACAGGTGGTGGTTCTGTTCATGACTTGATTTAAAAAAAAAAATAAAAAAATTTTTACTTCAATTTTTTTTAAATTAATGGTTTCTGAATATCAGTCACAGCAATGAGTTGGGTTTTTAAATAGGGTGTGTTAAATGCAAAAAACTGTTTAATGCAGTGTTGAGGCTGCAAAGTAAATTAATCAAGAAATGTAAAAGTTTTAAGATTCACATATCAATGTTGACTCACATGGTATAATTTTTAAAAGTATTTAATATAAGCAGAGACTAAGTACAAATCACTTTATCTACAATGTGAATTAACATTCTGTGGGAACATGAATTTTTGCACTATTTGATTTGCATTATTTTAATTGCCAAATTAAAATTGTACCTGCATGAATTTTTGATTCTTCTTTGAGTCATGTCCCTATATGTGCTCCACTGTAGGTGCGGCCTCGGATTGGAGATCATCATCAGTGCCTCTCGGACCGCACATGTGCACCTCGCTCATCTTGTGCCATGAGTTCTGTGTGTGTAGATAGATATATGCATATGTATATGTATAAAAAAATATAGCACTGTTGTCCCCAGTTGCTTCTCTACCGCCCTTGGTCTGGGACGGAATCCACAGCAGAGCTCGCTTCTCCTTTTGTCCAGTTAGATAGTGCCTTACCTGTTGTAGTTTAGTAGTTATTTCCTCCCTTTTCATCCTCTTTTATTTATTTATTTTTTTAAATCATTTTTATGCTTCCTACCCTCCCTGTTAGTTTGTAGCTTAGCTTTTTGTTTCCTGCTTCCCGACCAGGAAGTTTTTTTTCCTCACCTTTACGCATGTATCTCCCGGGTTTAAGAGGTGCGTTTCCTCCTGTTTTGCCTTCCTGGTAATGGATGGTCATCCACAGGGCATTTGCTGCCTGAGAGAGGGACATGTCCTGCAAAAGCGTGCTCACTGCCCTCACTGCCAGGGTCAGAAAAGACTGGGACGTTCAGTTGCGACTTCTCATGGAGAAATCTCTGCGTCCTGCATATGATGCTGACCTGGACGCTTTCCCTGCATGGCTCACACACTCCACTAGATTGTCCACTGAACCTCATTTGCCACGCCCTTCTAAAAGAAAATCTTCTCTTTTCCGCTCTGAAGAGAAATAAATGAGCTCCCTCATCACCCTCTGAGACACTGCCTGCCAGAACACCATTTCCTGCAGGGTTGGTTGCCTTGATATCTTTGGAGAGGGGACATAGCTCCAGGGCCCATCCGAGTACCTCAGGTACCGGAGCTAAGCAAAGACCCTAACTGGGCAGACCTGCAGCCCTCGGCACTGTCTCTCGGTGCTGGGGAAAAAGACACAAGATCTTCAAGAACAGTGCCAACTGTCCTGAACAAACCAACTGTGGGTATTGCGGCGTCGACAGCCCTGCTGCCACGATGTCCATTTCAGCACCGAGCAAGTCCTATTCACCAAGCAAGCCTTCCACACTATCTACTGGCTGCTCAGGAGAATGCACCTCTCCCTCGGCACTGATTACATGCCGGTACTGACCGTGCTCCTCCCTCCTCCCTAAGAGTTCAGATATGCCAAGGACCTACCTATCTCTGATGTGCCTGAGTCACCACTGCTCAGGCACGACCTTCCTCCACTTCAGTCCCTCTGGACTCTCATCATTCTTCCCTTTCTCCTCCGAGGACGGCACCCCCCTTTCCGAGCAACGCAGAGGAGGATGAGGAGTACTCCATCCCACCCTCATACTTGAGATAGGCACAAAAGACTTCCGCTACACATCCTCACAATCCACAAGCAGACCAGGGCCCTGGTATTGTCCGTCGTGGATGCAACCCCATGTGCCGCTCCCTCAACATTGGCCATACTGGGATCCTTGGGCCATGTACAGAGCATAGTTTGGGAAACCTCCCGTGGAGCAAAGCTGGAGGCCTACATTTTTGCCTTCTCTGTCGGTCTCTGGACCACCAGAGGTTGACTCTCTCTCTGTAGCAGCTAAGGAGGAAGTACAGGAGGAGGAAATTCCACCGCCATTCCACTTCTTCTTTCCCCTGATGAGGCTATCATGCCTCCATCTCCTACTGCTGCTGACTTCAAACATTTCCAGGAGTTTTGTAGGATTGCAGAATCCCTCCAGATTCCTTTGGAGGAAGTGAAAGATCAAAACATAAGCTGCTTGGCATCCTGCATACATCTTCCTCCTTCAAAATAGCCCTCCCTGTCACTGAGGCCCTTCTCGAACCTGCCAAAGTGCTCTGGCAGACCCCAGCATCCATCTCACCAACCTGCAAGTGGGTGGACAAAAATATTATGTTCCCACAAAAGCCTTGGAATTTTTTTTCTCGACTCACCCCAAATTCCTTAGTTGTCAATGCCATACAAGAAAAAGGACGCCAATAACAACCTCGACTCACCTGTCATGGCAGAAACTGGAAGCGATTGGATCTATGTGGCCTTCAATTCTGAATATCCAATTCTGAGGCTCTCATGGCTAAGTACAATTACCTCAACTAATCTAAATTACAGGAACTCTGCCAAGATCTTCCTGGTAACAAAAAAAAGAACTCCAGGTGCTTGTATCTGAAGGACACCTCTTGGCCCATACAGCTGTACAAGCCTCTTTGGATTCTGCAGATACTGCTGCCTGTTCCATTGCAACTGCCGTAGTCATGAGGTTGGCATCATGGCTGCACCTCTCTGGCCTTCCTAAGGAGGTACAAACCACTGTTGAAGACCTA